TGCTTGAACTGAGTGTGACTCAGCAGGTTGCGATGAATTTGTCAACCGAGATTGGCCTGATCTCATTTATCCAATAAGGATGACAAATTATGAGCGCATGCACTCAAACTGAGCACATCTCTGTTGGGTAATGCATATTAACCATGTAAAGAAAAAAGGCCCTGTGTTTTTCCCTTATCCCTGACACTGCACTTTACTTAGAAATTAGTTGCCATGCTCTTAAACATAGCTACCATTTGTCATTTGAACTGTGAAATATTCTGCATTGATATTCAAAAGGTGGACAGGTTTTTTTTTATCCAGGCATCATTATTAATATTTACTATCTTGTGTGTCAGCTGACGTTCAAACCCTTGCTTAGGGTGCAGAATCAGTCCTGAACTATTAGACAGGGAAGTTGATGGACATAATACTTTTACACAAACGTACACCCACCCCAGGAAGCCACTGGAAAGTTTAAGAACTGAACCTTACTATTTCAAGTATTGAGTCAGTGTCAGTTTCACAAAATACTATATAAATATTATAAAGATTTGAGACCAGATGGACACTATTGTATCAGAAAGATTTGGTTCCCATATTAGTTATCTGAAAATATTGCCCCTTTCTTAACTAAATAGGAGGTGGCAGATGTTCAGGAACCCTCCCCTGGGAGATCTGAAAAGCACTCAAAGGATCCTTTTCCAGACTGGCTGGAGCCGTGAATAGAGCAGTCTTAGGGGATAGAGGTGCACAACAGCATTGTGTTGCTGGTCTCACTGGTTCTATTAATAAGCAATCTTTTTTTAAATATATATGTACATATCCAAATATGGGAGAGTTGCAGAAATCTACAAGTGGGTTTTTGTAAACAAAGACCTGTTTTCCCAAATGAAAAATATGAAGTTCTTGAGCAAAGGGGTATTGGGTCAAGTTAGATCATTTGTTAGATAAATTATATTTCTATCTCACTTTTCAGCCAACATTGGCTCCCAAAGTGGTTTACAACTACTAAAATCCATCACAAAATTCACTGATTTGACAGATTGTCTAACAGCAGTAATAATTGAATTCTGAACAATCATTCAGTAGACTAACTAGCACTCAAAATAACTTCAAGGGGATGAAGATAAAGAGGAGCAGCAAATCTGGATACCCAGTTGTACTCCGTATCTATCATGGAATGAACTGGTTTCCAGTACTCTTGCTACATTTGTAGCTGAAAACAAAGACTGCTTAATCGGCAAGCTAAAAGAAGTTGTTGTTGTGCAGAGTTTCTGCTATCAAGCAGCGTTTCTGCTATCTGTATGATAGTCTGCATACAGAACAAATTGCTCCAGATTTCAACAGGCGCTTCTTGGCAAAACAGTAAAGTTGCTCTGTGCATGTATGAGTCGTTTCAAAACAAATGCTAGGGTCTTTTTTGCTCTTTAGTCATATGAGAGCACCATGACCTCTGGCTCTAAGCCTTGTGTGTCACAATAAACTGAGGGAGGAAAAATACCCCGAAAGTTGTGTTGATAAAAGTGTGGATTTTGTTTTTTATTTATGCAGTTTATTCACTACCCTACGGTTGAGTGTGATCTCATGGTAGATAATAGCAATTTTTAAAATAAAATAAAAACCAACAAAACACGGTATGGTAAATGAAAACAGGGAGATTACAAAGCAGCACATCACCCATCTGTCCCAATGCAGGCCCTGTAGGATCATACTAGAAACTCTGGAAAATGGATAATATTGGTGCCAGCCAAGCCTTGGGGAAATGTTATTCCAAAACCAGGATGTAAGTGCTGAGGTTACCCTCTGGCATGTCACAGGTTCACTGACCTCATTCAGAGATGGTGTAACCAACAGGGTGGACAGTATGGGGAGAAGCACTTCTTCAGGTAATTGGGTTCAGAGCTTTATACATCAAAACCATCACCTTGAATTGAGCTCGGTGGTGAAAAGGTAGCCACTGCAGATCTTTAAGTCTGGGTGTATACAGAAAATCTGTCAGAACTCTGGCAGCTGAGCCTTTGAACCAGCTGCAGTCTCCAAACTGTCTTCAAGGATAGCTCCACATACGTTAACCCCAAATGGAGTTTACTAGAGTGTGGTTGTCACTCTTTTAACAGCTCTGTGAAACTGTGACTTGGTCACTGCCCATCCTCTGATCCAATAGGTCCTTCATCTGTGTTCTGTGAAGCAATTCTGAGTGCCCAGTGAGTAGAGTAGTATGCTTCAAATAATAAATGGGTTGGTTTTCTTACAAATTCCAGTTGCTAGGAATTGTGAACAGGAGACTGCTGTCGTGCTGATGTCCTGTTTGTGGGCTTACCATAGGCACCTGGTTGGCTATTGTGAAAACATGGTTTTGGATTAGATGGGCCTTTGGTCTGATCCAGCAGTGGGCAGGCCAAGCTTTCTGTTTACCTGTGGAGTCACACTTCTTTGAGGCTTTAAAACCAAACGTTCACCTCAGTATCTGCAAAGCCTCTTGTGTTACCCATAACTCTAAATGATTTGTTCATCTCTTTGTTCTGGAATCTCAACATACACTGTGCGCATATTGAAATTTGACTCCACCCGCAATTTTCCAGGTAATTTTGATAGCCTATTTCCGAAGTGCTATAGACCAGGGAAACAGAATTCTTGAGCTCATCCCACCAATGACCTTTTGGCCCAAGGACTGGAGTAGCATGGTTTGTTAAAACCCAGGTGAAATTTGTACTGGTTGGCCTTTTTTTGAAGCTTGTTGTTTTTGAGCCGCCTGATATTTTCTCGACCAGTATCAGGTTATGCCTTTTGAAATGGAACGCTGGGAGAATAAGCACAAAATCTTTGTGAAGAGTCTCGGAACCTTGGAAGATTTGCTGATGTGTCATATCTTGAGAAGCTGATGGCTAAAAGCACTCAGTTTTTCTAATCAGAGAGTTAACATAAATTCATTGCTGACAGTTAGATTTGAGCTGGAGACTTGCAGCCTCGTAAAACTTTGGAGGCCAGATTAAAAGCAAGAGAAGTTTAAGAATGTTGGTAATCTTAAAACCATAAATCACTGAAAGAAAGCAGCAGTGGGCTGAACTCTGCTGACAGACATATTAATTTCTAAGGTCTTGTGACATTGAGAAATCTAATGTTGCAACTCATTGTACGTAGGACAGATAATTCCTTTCCACAGGGCAGATGTTGCCTTTCCCTTTTCTGCTTCCTCTGCTCTAAGTTTGTCAACCTTAAATAAAGTGTTCTTGCTGGGAGCGGGGGTGGGTTATGTCTGAACTGGACACCTTCATTGCCATTTTGCCCCTTAGTGTTTCATTGAGGTTCACATACTTCCTGTACATATTTATGTGCTTCCTATAGGAATTGCAGGTGTTTAGTTTTCTATTTATTTGCAACATACTGTGAGCACACTTGCTGTTTGTTTAGAAAGCTTTCTTTTAATAAACAGATAAAATTTGAAATTTGGGTGTTAAAAATGAACAGACCAGAATATATATAATAGACCTTTTTGACTCAGCAAGTGCTGAAGAATTGCTCAATGGGCATGTGAAAGTTAATTCCCTGCAAGCACTTTGGCTGGAGCAAAGCACAGAGTACTATACTGAAGTTATTATAGAAATGTAAGCCAACAGAACAAAATTGAGGAAAAAAGGGTGAAAACATGCTGGCTCAGGGTTTCTGCTGTCTGAACAAAGCAAGTCTGTCATAAGTGAAAGTTCTTATTCCTTGTTGGCTCTTAATTCATGTCCTGTGTTCCGGTGCATGCAAGTTGTGTTCCCGGGGAGCTTGTCAGACATTGCATTAAGTTGTCTTATAGGCTGTGTCTCAGCAGAAGCCAAATATGGAATGGGCTGTGGGGACCAAATTAATTGACATGCAGATAACTGTACGACCAAGGTGGCAAGCTTCCATTATTGCTACTTGCGTTCTTAGCATAAAGAACACCTCTCATTAAAGTAACTTTATCCAACCCTTGAGTATCATTCTTTTTCTTTTTTCTTTAAAAAAAACATTGCCAGCAGCACTCTCATTTCCCATGTCCTTTCATAGTATAACCTGAGTATTGGCTCTGTCTGTTAATAAGGTTATTTCTCCTGAAAGACATCTCACCTTCCCTGTCACTAATCTTTATACAATGAAGGAGAGGAAGAAAACCTTGCACAAAATAGAGAAATTATACGTTCTCTGCACCCACACACCCTTGATTTGTTTCAGCACTTCCAATCTATAAGATGCTTCATGTTGTCCTGGTCCGTGCAGTCAACAGGACTGATGTGTCTGTGTGTTCTGCACATTTTGTTTCCAGTGCTTGCCAGCGAAAGGTTATCTGCCTCCTCATAAATTCTCTCAACCTTCATCAGCAGAGAAACAGTTTAATTACAGACATGTTGAAACACTGCCTATTAACAACAAAGCTGTTTTTAAAAATAAAAATTGAAAAAAATCCTGCACTCTCTTCCAAATATTGCCCCCAAGGCAGCACTAAAGCCCCATAAAGGCAAATTGTAATCTATCTGGCAAGTGTCAACCCCAAATGCTCAAGCAAAAAGAATAGTGTTTACCTGGTGCCTAAATGTAAACAAAGAAGGCACTTGGTGAATGGGTATTCCAGTGAATACCTGATATATAACAGCTGATTACTACCAGTGAAGCATATGGTTGTGTAGAACCAACCATGATTTATTCAGTGGTAGCCAGGAGGGTGTTACTTAAGAGTCTTTGCCTCTGGTTTCTTTCTCTCCCCACCACCTCCAAAATATTTGGAATCTTACACAATGAAAGGCAGTTTAGAAATATTCCAATATTTTTTGATATTAACCCTCAAGTATTATTCTGGTATATTATTCAAAGTGCTCAAAATGTGTGCTGCTTTTCAGGACTCGCTAAATAGGTACTTCTTTAGCTCTAGGAATGAACACATCTCATTGCTTTTCCTTCTCTCAGGGGAGCTTGGTTAGCCAAGGTGGAACGTGGTAGACAGAAACAGCCAAGCCTTCCATATGAAAGACTGATCTATTTTTATTTTGTTCTAGTCGGGGCAGTTCAATGAAGATATGATCCCAACAGTGGGCTTCAATATGCGGAAGATCACCAAGGGAAATGTTACTATAAAGGTAAGATGCAGTATGTCTTGGCCAGGTGTGCTGCTAGATTTGCAACATAGTGCTGCAGGCAAGCTTAGGGGTTTAAGGAAGCGCAGGCAGATTGACGGGGTTGAATTAACACCAGCTTTTTAAAACTATCTGCTGTTTCCATAACACCAAACTGGTTTCTGGGTGCCAAGCTGAGCAACCCCTTTTCTAGAGGACTCTTGGGATGCTCTGATGAGTTTTTCTTAAAATTGGTTCAATATTCAAATTATTGGGGAATTTAGTTTGCAGAGAGAGAAGGCCCACCTCCCTCACCTGCAGTTTTTAGACTAAAAGTTTAACTCAGACTGAATGGTGCTGGAGTGGAGCTTGTGAATTTATTTTATTGATCGTGCCCTGTTTTCCAACACAATTTGAGCACTAAATTGGTTGCTGCTTCTGGTTGCAATATTTTATTCAGTTTTTATATGATGTGTTTAATTTTGTATTTTTTATAACTCTTTGTAAACCACTCTTAAATCAAAAGATTGCTTATAGATACATATGAGGACGAAATATAGAAGTGTTTGCTTGTTTAATTTGTATACTGCTCTTCATCTGATGATAACAAGGAAGTATACAATATATCACAGGGTGGTTTACAATATAAGTTAAGGTTATTCTGGGGTTTCTTCTAGTCAAAATTGTGGATGTGAATTTCTGGGTGGTCTTTCTCTCACTGTTGCTAGATATCCTATTGTTTTTGTGTATTATTTGAATGATTAGCTCAGCTCCTGTTAGAGAGAGGAGTAGATGTTTAGTGGGAATCCTAAAAGGAATTGCCTAAGCAGAGTAGTGGCAGCAGAGTGTGTTTGGTTTAAATGCAGAATTTCTAAATATATCAGTAGACTGTTCACGTCCTTCAGTTCCATTTATGTGTTTTGACCAGGAAAACACTGCAATTGTTATTTAATTAGTTTGGATATCAGTTCCATCACTCAAGAATTTTGTGGAGCTAATCCTAGTAAATTCTAATTCATCATAATACTGTAATTTGAATACTTGGGTTCTTTACAGCATTTGTAAGTGTGAGAATGCTTTTGTGAAGTGGCCATTGTTGTACCACTGTTGCTCAGAAACCCAAGGCTCTCTGAAATCTTCAGGTAGCGCTTCAGATGGCTTCCTTAATAATAAAGAGTGTGGGCTGTGGAGAGACTGTTGGATGACCATGCATAAAATGAAGACATGGGAAAGTGTAGAGCAGGCAGTGGGGCCATGTATGTGCGAGTCAAAGAGTATGCTTGGGCTTGCAAATTCTCACATCGTAGTCCTCACCCATATTTTAACTTGCTGCTTCTTTCCCCACAGCTCTGGGATATTGGGGGCCAGCCTCGTTTTCGTAGCATGTGGGAGCGGTACTGCCGTGGAGTCAGTGCCATAGTGTAAGTATTCCCTGCCTCGATTCTCAGTCTGTCACCAAGCTCTGAGATTGCCGTGCGCTACTCTCAAGACAGGTCCTAGGCTTCCTCTGAACACTGGAGCCGTGTGGTGGGATCAAATCAGTCCAATAAACTCAGGCAAAGATGAGGCTTCTTTGTTCCTCAGGACATCTCCACTGTCTCTTGGATCACGTTTGGAACTGTAAGAGATTTCTTACCTACCTTACAGGTGTGGCTTCACTTCTAAGCACAGGCTGGGTTCCTTTATATCAGGCCCGGGGAACCTGTGGCTCTCCAGATGTTGTTGAACTACAACTCCATAAATCCATTCTTTATTTCTTATAGAATGTCACAATGACTCCATTGGATCCTACCTGCCTTTGAACCATAAGTGAGTGCCCCTGCTCTGAGGGTTACTGCACACACAAATAACCACTGGATGGCTGCACTTAAGCTACACTGTACCAAATAAAGTTGCAAATAAAGCACCGCTTCTGCATCAGGCCACTTTTGACACAAAGGGTTGCTTGTGGAATCTGATTAACTGCATGGAAGGCAGCAGGAGGAGGAAGGTTCTTCAGGCAGCCGTTCAGTTCAAACCCTCACTGTCAGTAGGCTGTGGGGCAGGGCAGGGCCTTTTATTGACAGCTGCAGACTTCTGTGCTGTCTCTGAAAGATCTCAGTGTCCTTGGCCGAGTCTTCAGTTCCTGCTGGTGCTGCTTTTTGTGAAACCCTCTTTATTCCTTTGAGTACCTGGTACGGGTGGACGGAATAACCTTCAGCCATTCTGCTGCTCTCCTCTCTTGGGCTGAAATAGAGCAAGACAAAGTATTTCTGTAGCGCCTCTGCCAAAGGGCCAGGCTACACCTGATTATAAGTATGCCTTTTAAAAACGAGCCAATTCTGTTTTGAAGAATAGCACCTTCAGGGAGTGAAGAACAGCCAGGTGGAGGGCAATTTTTGGTAGGAAACTGGCACAAGACTCTGATCTGGAGATTGCCTGGTGAGTGACTGGAAAGGATTGAATTTCCAGTGGTCAGGGAATGTGGCTTCAGTGCCTTGTATTGTTTCTTCATTTCCCCGTGTCTACTAGAGGTAGAGAGAGGTTGAAAAAACAACCAAACAAAATTCATTAATTCTAACATTTATTCAATCCATAGATTTTAATATATATTTATTTTTAGCAAAAAAAACAAAAAACCCTTGGGATTCCTTAGAAAGCTGCCATATACCAGGTCAGGCTGTTCGTGCATTTAGCCTAGAATTGTTTGTTCTCACTAGCATCAAATTTCTTTAAGATGAGATGCCGCAGATTTGAACCCAGGATCTTCTGCATGCAAAGCATGGGCTCTACCACTGACCTGCGATTCCTCCGCAGAGTACATGCACAGACTACACAGCCTTGACTATAAGCTGGTTTCTCTGCCATGTTTTGGAGAAGATGTGTGTTGGTATAGACAGTTGGATACTAGTATTCATAGACAGGTGATTTTTGAAAAGGAAGAAGTCTGCTGCAAGAAGCAGTTACTTTCCTTGAGAGTCGGATGCTTTTATGATCTCCATTTTTCAGAAGCATCTTCTCTCTCTGAGGCCCCCATTCGTAAGAATATTTAATTACCTTACCAGATTGCAGGGTTTGGTCTTCTAAACATGAAATGCGTGCATTAAAAGCTATATTATGTGTACCTCAAAAGCTATATACACACAAATGTAGGGTGAAGGGAAGCCTTTATTCCTTCAGAACTGTTAAAAGGGGTATATAGTGCCTTCAGTATACATGACACTTTGCAAAATAACAAAAGCAGAAAATAAAGATGCTTCTTCCAGATAGCTTGTACATGGCACTTAAGGGGTAGCTTACATAATTCAGCAGAAACTGGGGAATGGCAGAAACCAGCATGTACAGAATAGAGGCTCTTTAATTTCCTTAGATCTGGGCTTCTGCGTGCTTCATACCAGATTCTTGGCACTTCTCAGCTGGGTTTACCTTGATGGCCACTGCCAATGACCAGAGGCAATACAAGCTGGGCTCAGTTAGAAACCCCGTACTGTGTATGCTGTTTCAGTTGCAGAAGTATTTCCTTGTAGATTTCCACATTATCGAATGCTTCTCAGATGTTCTGTGCTTGTTCAATATCTACTATAACATAAAAACTCCATGTAGGAAATCTGCACACCGCGTCCCATATTCCCTGCCTGCTGGCTTTCTAGGTGAGCCAGCCTAGCACATTTTGCCCAATGAATAATTTAACATAGATGCGGTTTGCCAAGCTCCTGCTGTGCAACCAGCAGTTAGAGCAGCTGAATTGTTGCATTGCACAAGAGCACCTCGCAGCTTCTTGTGTTGAGCATTGGAGGCACTCTGGAAAAGGGCAGGGATAAGGATTGCCCATTAAGGTAGTGGCACAAGCAGCAATTTGTGTGCCACAAGAAACCAGAACTGGCAGTGACAAGGGCCTTATTTCTATGGCGGCTTAGGAATTTGGTAATAGATGGTCAGTGGGTCTAACGATCCAAACCCTTTGTTATGCTGAATTTTCCTCCAACACAAAATCAGGTATCTTGAACAAAGTATTTTCAGCAGATTCCAACCGCCCCTTCCCCAACTTTTAGCTCTCTTGAATGTAAACATATGTGGGCAGATGGCTGATAAAAATCTTAAACTTAATCCCACCTGCATGGATCTGCTCTTTGTGCTTTGCACTCTTCAGTAAAAATCAGTCTATCCCCATCCCCAGGCAAAAAAATATCCACACAGATTACAAAACAAAACCCAACACTATCCCTCTCACCAGTTTATAAAAAAATTAATTTGAAAACCAAAAGGATTTCTACAAATTTTGACTGATGTGTAGCATTATGGTGGCCACACTGAAAGTATGTGGTCTCAGAATTGCAATTCCCCCTACTTATGGGATGGGGAGAGTAATTGAATCTAATGCAAGGTAGTGGTTAGTTAGGACCCTATATTCAGTGGCTGGGACTCAAATGAAGATTCAGGATAACCCACCTTGCTTTCTGGAGATTGCTCTCTTCCTCTGGCTTGGCTATTCCATGCAATAGCACCTGTTGCTTCTTGACCTCAGTGCTAATGTAGTTGATTTCATTCCAGATACATGGTAGATGCTGCAGACCAGGAGAAGATTGAAGCCTCAAAGAATGAACTTCACAACCTGCTTGATAAGCCACAGCTCCAGGGCATCCCTGTAAGTTGCTCCAGTTCTGGAGAGAGGCTAAGTAAGCAAACAGATCCGTATGAGTGTGTGGTGGATCATAACTAGCAGTGGATGATTAGTGGCAAGCCTTCCAGACCAGACTCTGGATTAAATTCTTCCTCTCTATTTGCATGCTTTGCTCTGCTGGACTGTGTCGTTGGGATGTCTCTTTTCCAAGATATGAAAGGTTTGGTTAGAACAGGGAAACTGTCGAGTGCAATATAGAAAATTTATTACTGCACCATTTGGAAGAGATAAAGGACGCACCACTTGCCGCTGTTATCTTAATGCTGTGAGTCCTTGAGGGTACAATGTATGTGAGTTTGAAGTGAGAAAGTCTGGGATGAGCCAAATGAGTGGTGCTTGCTATTGTATTCCATCCATGAAATGGGAAAATACTCTTGTTCTGCAAAGTCTGTCTGCCACCAGAGAATCTGAAGTCCTTTTCAACATACGTTGCAGCTGAGCTCAACAAAAAAAGCTTATTAGAGAATAGGAAAATATGTAATTGACATACTTGGCTAGGTTTTTGTTTTTTGAAACCATGCTGATCTTAATTTCACCAGTGTTTTCCTTGTATTCAGGAACTGACCGTGTAGTTTAAAGCTCTTGTGCTGTCTGTTGTCACTGTGATGTAGACCTGGCTTTTCTGATTCCATGCTTAGAAGAAGTTCCCCTGGATTATAAGGAAATGCTTTGCTTCAAGGGTGTCCGTTCTATTGAAACCATGGCTATAGAGGATTTAGTCATCATAACCAATGGAGCCACCCTTGGCTGACCCAGTGGTAGATGCGAGCTGCCTATGTGAGCCGTGGACTGAGTGATCTACCCTCTTCTCTTTCGCAGGTCCTTGTTCTTGGGAACAAGCGAGATCTGCCTGGTGCCTTGGATGAGAAGGAGCTCATTGAGAAGATGTAAGTATTTGCTGTTAGGACTTGGAGTTACAGGTATTTGCCTACTGTGGGCTTTTGCATCTCAAAAAGAACCATTGTTGAGCTTGACTGAGGCATTCACATTGCACTGATTGATTGGTTTTCATACACACAAGTCGGTTTAAGAGTTTGGGAAATTGGATCTGGATATGTTTGATGTGGTTGAAAGATCATAATCCTAGATCACAGCAGCATTCTTGAATGAATCAGAAGTCCTGTGCATTTTGTTGCCCATTGCCGAATCTGCATGCGTCTCCCTCAGTGGTGTGGAAAGTGAAATTTTCTGCACTGCTTTTCTGCAGAAAAGTGTTTCATAAGTTCATTAATAACAATGAATGCATGATTTTGGTAGAAAAAGACACCCCTCTATGGCTGTCACCCATTGATATTCTAGCAATAAAGAAAATAAATATGGAAGGCAGAAGATGGACCTATGAGGAGCTTCTGAAAAGATCTGAGAAAGGATGGGAAATTAGACCTTACGAAGAGTTAAAAGATAAACTAACGGGGTGGATACAATACCATCAAATCCACTCTTTATGGAATGAACATAAAAAAGCGGGTATGACTAAGAACAAATCCCAATTCCAGCTAGAAATAATAGAAGGGAAGTCTAAGCTCCTAACCAAAATGTACAATCAATTACTAGACTGGGACACCATGGATGAAGAAGTCAAAGAGGTTATGATCAAGTGGGCCATAGATATAGGACATCCTATAGAATATGAAAAATGGAAAAAACTATGGACCAAAGACATGAAATTTTCAGCATGTGTCGGCCTCCGAGAGAATATGGAAAAGATGATGTACCGCTGGTACATCACCCCAACAAAATTAGCTAAAATGTATAAAACTGGAGATAAAATCTGTTGGAGGTGCAAAAAGAAGGAGGGAGACTTCTTCCACATGTGGTGGTCTTGTGACGTAGTAAAGAAGTTTTGGGGTTCCGTCTATGACGAGCTAAAAAAGATGTTAAAGTACACCTTCCCAAAAAAACCAGAAGCATTCCTTTTGGGAATGGTGGGTAGTGAGATCAGTAAGGAAGACCAAACACTATTCCAGTATGCAACAGTAGCCGCCAGGTTACTGTTAGCACAGAAATGGAAAAACCCCAGTATCCCAACAATCACGGATTGGCGAACCAAACTAATTGAACACATCGACTTAGCAATAATGACGCAAAAGATTAGGCAGCAGAAAAATACTAAATTTATTAAGGATTGGAACAAATTTTTTTCATACATGGAGATGACATTAGGAAATACCAAAGTCACAGTAGGCATAATTTAAAAAACTGCGAAGTAAAACATAACAGTTAATAAAAGACACTGCTGTAAATATTGTTGGGATAGAGATCTCGTCGTGGTGGTGGGAAGTCAAAGAACGGAAATATTGTATATCGATTTTGGAACTATTTCATTGTATTTCTTTTTCTTTTTTTGTTTTTTGTGCGTTTTATTTTACTACTAATAATGTATATGTGTTTTTTAGATGTTGGACTACAATAAAAATTTTTAAAGTTTAAAAAAAAAAAAAAAAAATAACAATGAATGCATGACAATTGCAAATGTGATATTAGGCAAGCAAGATTCTAGCTTTGGTTGCTGAATGCAAGTAAAAGAAGCATGCTGTATTAGATCACTGTCTTGGGCTTCAGAAAAAATTCCAATGCAAATCACCTTACTTTGAATTCAAAAAATTTCCAGAAAACCTGCATCACTGCCCCCATCTCCATTTTTTGCCATATCAGAATCAGAAGTGGTTTATAAATCTGCAAATAACCAATAACATAAATTGCTGGAAGAGAGCTAGTGCTTGTATGAAGCTCTCTTAAGGGGCAGGTATGACCTCATGCTCTGTCAGCACTGGCAAGGCTGCTGTAGGATTGCTTTAGTGCTGCTGCATTTCTGACTGCTCACTTATTTCCCTCAGACATGCACATGTTTCCAACAGATGAGAGGCTGCTACCAAGTTACTAAAAGAGAACTAGGCCAAGGCATCTATTTCTTTAGCTGTAAAAATCTTCAGTAATTTGGATCTCTTGCTGCATTCCTTAAAGGGGACATTTGCTGTTACGACAGTGGGGAGACATATGCTTGTTTTTTAAGGCTGCTTTGAACTCATAGGTCTGCCCCCCCCCCCACTGCTGGGCTATGCAGATCCTTAATTCCTTTCACAAGGTTATGGCATAAATTCCAGAAGGGTAGCTGTTACAGTCTGCTGCAGGAAAAACAACATGGAGTCTTGTGTTGCCCTTTTAAATCCTTTAAATTTCTTGTGGCACTAGCTTTTGTGGACTAGAGCCAGCTTTGTCAACTGCATGAAATGTTTTTCTCAGTAGAGAGTGTGTGGAAATAACACGCACACCGGTTGTCATAGTATTATCACCTACCTTTCTAGCTATGCCAATTCTACTCTTGTTTTGGGAGAAGAAATCCACAGCTCCACAGATGCAATATAATCAAACTCACTTACAAAATCTAGTCCTGGTGTTTCATATTAGAGTAGTTTGAAGTAGTTTTGTAGACATGTTGACTTTCAGGTCACCAGCAGTGTGTTCTGAGAGAGTTCTCCTTTAGGTTTCCGAGTGCTAATCATTTCTGTGTCCGAATTATGTCTGTGCATTTTCATATATAGAGCCAGATATGTTTATCTTATGTGGGCAGCAGAAGGGCATTATCAAGAGGTCATAGCAATGATAGCCAACGTAGTACCCTCCAGATATTGCTAGCCTACAAGTCCCATCACCCCAACCATTGACCATGCTGTCTGGGGCTGATAGGAGGTGGATTCCAACATTATCTAGAAGGCACCATATTTCTGAACTGTGGGTATATGTTGCACTGGAAGTTGAGCAGTTGAATAAAAATCCAACAGTATGGTTGATAATATTAGGTTTGGTAATAGTGTTGCTTGAGTGGACTTGGCACCTGTGTTTGTCGTAAGGCATAGTCCCATTTTTTCTTTTCCCCCGGCAGATAGAAATTTAAGATTGGGGTGATGTCTTCTAATGATGACATAACTACCACACAAGGAATACAGATGACCACGATGTCCTATAGTTCATTGATAAAACATGTTGGAGGGGGTCTCACTTGGAGCTGTAGGTGGCAACAGTTGATGTTCAGTCGCTTTCTTTAGTGGGCCTTTTTTCTCATGGGTCCAGATGATAATGGTGCCGTTGTTTCTCAGGGAGAGGTGAGGCATTTGGGCACAAGAAATAGCATTGCTCAAAGTGGGCCATGAATGTGTTGGAATGTTATATGGAGCAATATGTGTATCTGTGTGTATCTGAAGAAGTGTGCATGCACACGAAAGCTCATACCAAGAACTAACTTAGTTGGTCTTTAAGGTGCTACTGGAAGGAATTTTTTTTTGTTTTGGAGCAATATGTGTACTCACAGCATTGCCACTGACCTGAAGGGCCAGGAAGTCTAAAAATCTAAAATAACTGTGGGTGAGCACAAAGTAGCAAACCTTAGTGACTGGATGTGCTTGGCACCCTGTTGTCTTGGCATTGGCAAGTTCTCTGGCTGTGTCCCACTCTTGGGCTCCATATTACATTATTTGGGGAGTGTTATTGCCTTCTAGGGCTGGGCAATATCTGGTTTTCAACACAATATATCACCAGCTAAACATCACGATATACCGAAATATCATGATGCCTGACATAAGGATTAAACTATGTAGAGGCGAATGGGGTGATGTCTTGGCAACTGCTACTACTTAGGAGTACTTAAGTACATTTTTACTTCCCTTTAACATATTGTTACAATGGGGTGGCAGGAATCATGAGAGAAGCAATGACCAGCTTCACAGTTTTCCCCACATTGCTACGCATTTTTTACATAGCACACACAAACATCATGATTTGTGATATATTGCCAGTTCAGATATTATGAAACAGTTATCACAATGTTGACTACAAACCGGTTTTGGACGATATACAGTCATACCTCGGGTTAAAGATGCTTCAGGTTAAATCTTTTCAGGTTGTGTCCCTCGGCGACCCAGAAGTAACAGAACGGGTTACTTCCGGGTTTTGCCGCATATGCAGATGCTCAGAATGATGTCATGCGCGGACACAGCGAATCGCGACATGCGCAGACGCGGGTTGCGTTCTGCTCATGATGCAAACAGGGCTCCGGAACTGATCCCGTTCGCATCCAGAGGTACCACTGTATCTATATTGGTACCACTCTATATTGCCCAGCCCTATGGCTTCCTGAGTTAATTACAGCCCATGACAAATCCACCAGTGAACATCCTGGCAATCATGGATGCAGAATGTGCCCAAGTGGTATAGAAGAGTACAAGCCTTCAGGAATATTTCCCCTCTTGGCAACACAGCAGGTCTGGCCACAAACTTCAGTACTGTGCATTTTACATAGGAATGTCAGAGGTGTACAATATGCCTTGTGGTTTACAGAGCTTTTTCCTCTGTACATAGGGTGCAATGCAAGGAAGAACTTGTGTGCCTGACAGGCTTAAGCTGTGAAAGCTTAAGCCATGCCTAGTGATTTGCCTGTCTCTTAGGTGTCATAGGACACATTACCATTTCTGTTGGATCGATGATTGATATGGAGCTTCAGAATTTGTTTAAGTTTTAGTGGAAATGCAAAGAGCCAAGGAAACCTTGGACTTGATATCAGGTGGTTGTTGTTTTTCTTTAAATAAAAATAAAAATACATTGGAGCCTTGTGATGTACCACAGGGTGGCGCCAAAGGCAGGCCAGTGTTTTCATCTTTCCTTTTTATGGTACTGGCTGGATAATGTGATTGAACGGAGGTCTAGGAATTTCATGATTGTCACGTGCTAAAATGGCGCAATTCAAGAAAACAAAGCTTGGTTCAAGGCAAGCATCTTGCAAGATTAGAAGGGAACTGGAGAGAGGAAAAAGAAAATTCTCAAACGTGTTATGTGTATAAGACCTAGACAGGAGTTGTGCTATCCTTCTCCCATGCTATTTGTCTACCAGGGTTAACATTTTGATAACTTGCATCCAGCAGTAATAACCCCCCTGTTCACCACTGAGGAGATTGAGCTGAGGTGCTTTGTTCACATGGGGCTGCTGTTTGGGGCTAGCTTTGCTGGCCAAACCAAAAACTGGAGTCACCAGCTCCCCTCCTGTCAAGCCCCTTCCCATTGTCTTTCCTGACAATGTATACACATTGTCACATGCTGTTGGGTGCTTTTGCACAGCAGCACCTTTCCCAAGGAGTGGGCGCTGTTACCCAATGCCCTGGGGCGGCATTGGAGTGGGGAGAATAAAAAATGAAAAAACTGAATTTCAGCTATTATTGGAGGGGAAAGGAAAGCAGCTGACTGACTGAAATATATTGCTAAAGAAACTCTGAATAGAAACCCAAGTCGATGGCATAATAGGATAGAGATATGCAGACAAAGTGTGGATTTTGTTTAGTTTTATAGAAAAGGGCCAGCTTTTATCTTGACTACTATAACTAAATAAACAAAATTGCAATGCAATAGCACTGGAGTTCCCGAAGGAATTAAAGGGGAATCAAGACAGGTGACAGGAAATGTTGGTTTTGTGAGGAATAGATTTCCCTTACATCTTGTGGAAATGTTGGATAACCTAGAAATAATAGGTTGACGGTAGCTGTCTATTTGGGTGAGCTCAGACAGTCTTCTGAGAAAATGAAGTACAGTCATACTTCTGGTTACAGCCGCTTCAGGTTGCGTTTTTTTGGGTTATGGGCCGCCAAAACCAGGAAGTACTGGAACGGGTTACTTCCGGGTTTTGGCAGTCGCGCATGCGCAGAAGCGCTGACTCGCAACCCGCGGGTGCGCAGACGTGGGTTGCGAACGCTGTGGGTAGTCAACGTGCATCCTGCACAGATCACATTTGCAAACCCACTGTAATGTCTTCCAGACCCTCCATATATCCATGAGTGGGTGTTGGAATCCACATGTATAGGCCCCCATTGGATTGTAAGTGGGATATTATACATGGGACCGGCAGAGAAATGTAGAGGAGTCACTGCTGCAGGGAGAGAGGCACGTTTTGCCCATTTCATTGTGGATGCCTTTCTCTGTATGTAGTTCTTTCCCCAAGGAAGCCTGACATTCTTGTGCTTCTGTTTTTCCTTCAGGAACCTGTCTGCCATCCAGGACCGAGAGATCTGTTGCTATTCAATCTCTTGCAAAGAAAAGGACAACATTGGTGAGTGTAGAAGGGAAGGGGGAGGTTGTAGGGTCAGAGTGCCTGACAATTTTAAGGGGAATGGTTGGGGCTTGAATGCACAGTGATACCTAGACTGCCCATGGGGAGATCTCTCCTTATGCTCTTTGGCTCTCCTGTGTTTTGAGCACTGTGGGACTGATTCTGTGATGGCACTGAATGCCCCTGGGGTCCGCCCCCTCCATAAATAATTAGGGGGGCAAGAAAGCTTTGTGTAGGCCCAGATGTGGAGAAACTGTGACCCTCTGAGTGTTGGTGAAATACAGCTGTTATTTTCCCTGCCTGATGGCCATGCTGGCTCAGGCTGGTTGGGATTGGAGTCCCAGTAACACCTGGAGGACCACAGGTTCCCCACCCCTGTTGAAAGCCATGGTAGAGAAAAAGTTCACTCACATGCAAAAGTCATTCCCTTCAGGACAACATGTTGGGCTGCTGGCAGCAGGGCTACAGAAGTGAATTATGAGCTTGGCTCATAATTTGGTAATCTCTTGTGAGGCCCCTGTGTTCCCTTACCTCTAGCTAAGCACCTCGCTGCAACTTCTATTTTTCATGATGGTCATTAACTGTATCTTGTGTTTGACAGACATCACCCTACAGTGGCTTATTCAGCACTCAAAATCCCGGCGAAGCTGAGAGCCCTTTGGCCAGGTCTTGGATCGGGAAGATGCCATTGTAAAAGCCCAAACGCACCTCCTCCTTTCTCTTCCCCCATCTCCTGCTCTTTCCAACCCTCTCGCCCACCTCCCTCTCCCTAGATGGGTATTTTTAGGGGACCCCAGATTCCTCTTCTGCTGAGATTGAACTCCTGTTTTTATTGTAAAGAAACTGTCTGCCTCCTCCCCCTTCCCCTTGCTCCTTACTCTGGTTTTGGCACTGTTCTGTTGTCGTCGGTGTGTGTACAGTATATATATATATATGTATATATATTTTAATTTTTTAATTTAAGCAATTTTGCTGTTATCAAATGGGGCCTGTGAGCTGTCGCAGGGGGTGGTGCGGGTGGGGCAGCAGCAAATGGATGGGGTGGGGAAAGTACCAAACGCAGTATTGGGAATGTTACGAGGAGTCAGGGGCACTTGGAATCTTGCTGGAGGGGACCCTGGCTTTGGCAGTATCTTCCCCCAAGAGACCTCCTTCTTTTCCACCTCAAGCCCCTCCCTTCTCCTTCTGCAACAGGATCCAGGGGTTTCTCCCCTCTCTGCTGCCCCAAGCTGCTCAGCACTATGGTTAGGGGATGAGCCCCTGGGAAAGGTTCATAGAGCAGTATTGTTCATGGTCTGAGATTATAGAGGAGAGTTGGTGCCATCTCTTCCTCCTGCCCAGTGTCCGCTGAGCCCTGGGGAGCAAATGCTTCCCAGTGGACAGATGTTGAACCTTCTGTACATGAGCTTTGGCTCCTACTCAGCTTGCTCCCCAACCCCCCAACCCCCAGTATCATCTCCCTCTGCGCCCTGCCTGATGAACTGGCATGTCTGGTGGATGCTGGGCACTTACGCTTTGCAGCCTTTGTGCTCACATTCCTTCTCGTTCTGGTGTCTTTCTCTTGGTCAGCACCTGAACAGAAGTAGGCAATGGATGATGCACATCCCTTGACTGTGTGAAGGCAGAATAAGGGCCCAGGGTTCTGTGTGCTGCCAGAGCAAGATAGCAGATCTGGAGTGGTCTGGGTTTCTCATGACCCTGTTACTGGGCCTCCCACTCATGCCAAATGCTTGCGGCCTGTTCAGCTCGTGAGGGACAGTGGGAGGAGACATCTATGCAAGAGTTCCCTTCAAAGCCCTTTGGACAAGGCATAAGGCGCTTCCCTCAAATCCTATATCCCACTGCTGCAAATTTCAGAGTGGAGGACATAGCGGGTAGGAATTGTGCTCTGCCCAGTTTGGAGGTGTTTCTGCAGGCCACAGCCTAGTCCTTAGGAGCAAGGGCTGTCCCTCAGTTTCCTAACCTTGAGCGTGTCCCCCTCCTTGAGCCCAGGGCTTGAGCGTACACACTTGCCTGTCCCTCAAGTTAGGGTGTGAGGCTTTGGTCTTGGGTTAAACCAGTGGAGTAGAAGGAGGGCATTCTTGTTCTCTCAAGCGCACACGAGGCTGTGTGTGAGACGCTTTGCTTCACACCCTACTGGGCAATAGGGTGCTTGAGGTTATAGGTAAAGGGCTGTGGTAGCAAGGAGGAGCTATTCCTGGTCAGGGGTATTAATCCAGCCTAGCGGGGTTGGCAATTGTCCTGTGTTGGTGTTTGCTCACCCTGGAATCTACAGCAGCCTCAACAGGGTCCAGGAAGGGGGTCATGGGAAGGATCATGAAAAGGCTTTGTATGCTAGCCCCCTTGTCTCCCTGTGAAGGGCAGCAGGCTGCATGTGGCCGTGTCTTCCCCGTCCCACTTAAGCTTTGGACAGGTGTGAGACTGCAGGGCCCTTCCTGCCCTTGCCTGGCCCTATCCTGCACGGAGCTGCTCCCTTCAGGGCGGGAGGGGGGGCTTTCTAACTGCATCTTTCCCCCTCCTCTTTTCTCATTTTCACAGAATTGCACAAGGAGATATTTTACTTTTTTTTAATTTAATGAATTGTAAAGTGTCATTATTCCTTTTTTAAAATATATTTTTGGCTCATTTTTTGACCTTCTCTGTTGGGAAATGAATCTTGTAACAGTACATTTTTTGCCTCCTAAATAACAATAAATTAACAATTTTGTGTTGGTGGTGGTTGCATTGTGAACTTATTTCCTCTTAACTGGTTCGTCGTCTCTCTCACTCACTTTATTGGAGCTTGCTCTGCTTCAAACCCAGGAGATCAGCCTTCTTTTTCCAGTGGCACCTTCATGGCCTTGGGGCGCTTCTACAGGATGACGGCAGCAAACCAAGGAAATCGGAGTTTATCTTTGGAGGCTTGCAAATGTAATTCTCGTATGTTTAGATGTGTTCACCTGCCAGGATTCATGTTTGGCAAATTGCCTGCCACACCCACACACCTACGTGTACACCCGCTGATGGGGACTGAACTGGCTAGGGCTTGCCCATCTTGGGGTGACAGTGGACACCTTACAGGAGAAGTCAGCGCATTGTGTAGCAGCAATGAAAAAGACAAGTGCAGTTGAGAATTACTAGGCAAGGAAATGGAAACAAAGCCGTTGCTAACAGAAATCTTTAGCTAGATTAGATAAATCTGTGGTGTGGTTGCATTTAGAGTACTGTGAACAATTATTGTCACCGCATCTTAAAAAGGACATTGCAGCACCAGAAAAGAACAAGCATAACTATTGTGTTATGCTGCTTGGGAACAAAAGCAAACGTGAGGCACCTTGGTTTTTGTTTTTTTAAAATACAGTAACTAAACAGGTCCACAAGGGAGCTTTATAAATTATGGGGAGCAGGGGTGGCCAATATGCCCTCTAGCACCCTTCAGCCCCTGCCAGTGTGACCAATGGTCAGCAGTAATGGGACTTGAAGTCCAGCAGGTGTCTTGAGGACACCATGCTAACTAACCCTGATATAGGGAGTTAGACCAGGCATCCCCAACCTTCAGCCCTCCAGATGTTTTGGACTACAATTCCCATCATCCCTGACCACTGGTCCTGTTAGCTAGGGATCGTGGGAGTTGTAGGCCGAAACATCTGGAAGGCCGCAGGTTGGGGATGCCTGAGTTAGAACATGGGCTCACTCAATGAAATTGGCTAGCAGTAGCTAGGAACAGACTAGACCAAAGGAGGCAGTATTTCATATAATGCCTTAGTTTAACTTGTGGAATTCACTGCCAACAGCTGTCTGGCCAGTAGCTTAAAGCTGTACACAAATTAATACAAGAGTAGGTCTATCAACAGTTTTTCATGATAGTGCAATAGAACCTCCCTTGTGACTTTTGTGGATGTATTTGTACTTGGAAGCATAATCCTGAACTAGCTGGGACCTCAGTCTGCTATTTCATATCTCTGTGTATCTCCTAAATGCTGTTGCAATTTCCCCACTTGCAGACTTAATTGTGTAGCTTTTTCACATGGGGAAGACGGCAAGTGGCTTTTATATTCCTGAAGGGAACATAAGACAGGCTTGTTTTCACAGCACTTACGTCTTTACTTTCCATCTTTTGGGAATACCAGTGCTGTGACAGTATTTCCTTGCAGTTAAACCTATCCAAGCTACAGTAAATCTAGGGGAGAGAGTGGCTTGATGGAACAGGAATAGCATGTGGACATAACTGCCTCTCTTTAAATGCAATGGGCCAATATGGCCTGAAGGGGAGGTGGAGAAATATGTACCACCTACACATCACAAACTATGAATTCAGGATTATATGCATCAGCAGTTCCTGTCCAGCTTTTTTTCTTGCTTACATTTCTCGGTACAAGCATATCATTTTGACACAACCACTTTTGTCCTAGTAGTAAAGGAGTAGGCAGGCCTGTTTGCTAGACCGAATGGAGAAAAACATCTGCAAGTAGCATCACACATGTGCCTGGTGTGCCTTGTCAACCTTGTGCCCACTATTGCTGCAGGCAGAGTGGCCAGCCAGTATCATTAATACTGGAGATGAAGTTATGGCCAAGAAGGAGGTGAGTGTCATTCAGCAGGGACAACAAGAGAACTCTGGAGTGAATGAGCTGATGGCATTTTTCTGGAAGTGAAGACAGTGCAATTGTATTAGTCTCTAAGGTGCATTGCACTTTGCCAAAAACATGTTCATGTTGCTGCAGGCTAATACTGCTGCCTTTCTGGAATTTTGATTATCTCAGTAACTTCTTTCTTGTATACCAAGCAGACTTGAAAATTCTAGTGAGGACCAATCATTTGACATTTAACTTGTGTGCCTTTTATTTGAGTTCAGTTTTGGGTCCATGGTAACTTCAGAATGAAATATAAGAATTACTGTTCTGCACCAGGCCAAAGATCCCCATAACCGAACACTGTCTCTAAACGGTGGCCTGCCTGATGTCGCTGGGAAACTCAACCATCCATCCCTTTGTTGGCAGTTTACAGGTATATGGCCTCTCGTGTGGAGGTGATCGTCCAATGACAGACCTATTTTCCATCCTGTTTTCTTCATCCAGTGGTTTTCAGGCTTTTGATACTCAGAAATTGTTTCCACATTGTTTGTATGCTGGGGAACCATTCACAATGGTAGCTCTGCTTGCTGCTTAAAATTATGACACACTTTCTTGGTCATATGTGTGAGCAGTGGCCAGGACTCCTGTATCCCTTGAGTCTATATGCTTATAAAAATGTCCAGTGCTCCCCAGTGGTTGTGGAGTGCAGTGATGGGCAAAGGAATCTTGGTCTTGTGTGGCGAAGTTTCATAAGTAATTTGAGGGTGATTGGGCTGGTGGTTTTCAAAGCCCATTTTGGTTTGGTATTGTAAATAATAATTTTATTATTGATACCCCACCCATCTGGCTGGGTTGCTCCTGTAAAGTACAAAACTCCAAACACAATTCAACTGCCTTCTCTTTGTCCTATGTAAACCGCATAAGGTGTGCACCAGCTGCATACACAGAACAGTTTAAATTGGATTTCATGTCCCTGTGATGTCTTCATCCTCGTGGCAGTCTATACTTTCCCTCCGTTTGATTTGGATTTTTCGGATCTGCATATCATGCAGTAAGGAAAACAACAAAATGAAATTGCATGCTAATATGTACTGTGTGGGCATATTTACCGGTATTTTATGCAGGTGGTGACCTTTTGCTGGGTCCCTTCTATCACCACACCCACTATTTCCATTGGTGAGGCACTCCTTGGTGGGCTGCTGGGCACCACACAACATTTTGTTGTTGTTAGGACCTGTTTTGTACAGGTCTGGTGTATCAGAAAACTATCAAAGATAAATTGAAAATGACTGCATTCACAGGTAAACAATTACCTGTACGCATGCCTACAATGGACTTCAGGGAACTCTGCAAAAGTGGGAAAGTACTGAATGAGAGGATGGCTCAACACACAGTGCAAATCATAGCATGAAGCAGCTCTCGCTAGTATGAATGGGAAACGCAGAGAGTTCAATTGAAAGCATTCATGTGGGCAAATGTGCATGAAAGTACGCATGGAAAAATCAGGGCTGTGCAACCCTCATGTGTATTAAAACTGGTGTGTACGCAGCCACCATACCCAAAGATCCCTGTCTTGTCATTCTTTCATTCACTGTCCATTCTTAGGCTGCATGATGCTGATTCGGCCATCTGGGATTGCCCCAGATCATCTCTGCTCCAGCAGCAGCTGCCTGGGCTCTAGTCCCTATTGGAAATGGCATCATAATGCGCTTGATGCTGTGTCTTGAACACTTGACTGAAGGGGGCAACCCTTTATGGCCCCAGCATCTTTGAAATGT